GATATGCAAACAACCTAAGTGACTGTCAATGGATTAAACTGATAAAGGAAGCATTTAGACACAATGAAGACTGGGCCTAAAAAAAACCAGACCCTGTCATTTGTGACAATATGGATGAACCCGGAAGACATGCTACCTGAAATAGGCCAGACACAGAAAGACAAGTAACATATGGTCTCACTTACGTGTAGAATCTAGTCTCTTAGATCTCAACTCTCTGTTTCAAGACTCTTCACTTTGCTTTTATCTTTTTTCTTACAGGAATCTAAGAAGTAAAAATCACAGAACCAAAAAGTAGAATGGTAGTTATCACAGGGGCTGGGGGTGGGTAGAAATGGAGAGATGTTAGTCAAAGGGCATAAAATTCCAGTTAGAAAGTGAATAGAACGTGGACACCTAAAGCACAGCATGGGGACTGTAGTTAATGATGTATTTTATACTTGAAATCTGCTAAGAGCAGATTTTGTGTTCTCACCAAAATGAATGTTAACTATGTGAGGTAATGTCTGTGTTAATTAGCTGGATTGTGATAATGATTTCACTACTATACATGTATCAATCATCGCATTGTGTACCTTAAATGTATACAATTTTGTGTTTGTCAATCACACTTCGGTAGGTTGTATCTCTACAAGCTTAATTATTGCACCTTTGAGGCATCATTTACCATCTGTAAAATGGGAATGTCATTCCCACCTCCCAGTGATGTTATGAGAATTAAACAAAATATTGTAAGAGTTGGCACAGCACTACAGCTCAACAGACACCACTGTGGTATGCTGAAAGGCGCCTCTGTCTGGAGTAGAGGTGGGACCAAACAGAAGGGCCTCTCTCATGGCTGTCAGCCCTGAGCTCTGGAGCAGGGCTCCCACTGATGCCGAGCAGGTTCTTGCTGCACTCCCTTTGCTCTCGCAGGGACTTGCTGCACCCCCTTTGCTCACGCCTGCACACTCAGACGTCATGCTCTTATACAGGGGCCTCCACGTGTCTAGGTTTCTGGTATTTTCTCCCCCTCCTCTCTAACACATTGCTGATCTTTTAACTCTGTTTCAAGACTTCTCACTTTGTTTTATCAGGCTTTTTATAGGAGCATCACCTAGTTCTTCCAATAAAAGCAACAAATAGATACATTTGTAAGAAAAATACCCTGGACTGACTGGTGAACACCCAGGGTTCAAGGCTGCTCCTCCTAAAGCCAAGTCACCCACGCAAGGAAAGGACACTGAAAGTTCTGTTCTGCGTCCCCACAAAAGCCACAGGGGGAAAGTGGGGGTGGAAGCATTAGATCGTCCATCTTTCCCTAAACTGGAAGTCAAAAATTATTTCGGATTCACTGCAATCTGAAATTGGGATTTTCCACAAACCTCCACGCAGCCAGCAGCACCATAATCTGTTTTAATTAAATAAATTGGAAAAACAAATCAGGCTGATATGTTGAATCAAGGTGGCATGTGCTGCATATTTATAGCTCCATCGACAGGAGGATTCATGACATATGCTACCAACTTCTGCAGCCGCTTTATTAACTGGAATAAATAAAATCCAAGCAAAATGGTACTAACTTCACCAGAGAAGGGCTACTGGGATTCTCCCAATCTCAATGCTTCCAGTTTATTTTACTGAAATGTTTTTGCCGGAATCAAAACGTGTTCCACATTAGAAACAACTGATTAAGCTAAATGGGTGAAATGCAAGGACTCTGGAAAGAAGTGAGGAGTTTCTAAATTCCCTGTGTCCTCACTGTGTGCCTCACACTCCCACCCCACCCCTGCCCATCCAGTGAACCAGGGAACAGGTAGGTCCAGTGGAGAGTAGTGTCCCTGCACCTGGAGAGGGTGTCTGCCACGTGGTGGCCAAATGCAGGACGTAGGACACTCTTGCCTGAGGTTAAGACTAGGCCCTGGGCAAGCCTGAAGTTTCTCCATTCAGCAGCAGGGTGCTAGGGATCCTGGGAAGAAGAGCTAGAACAGGGGTCTGAAAACTACAACCATACCTAACCTAGCCTTGCCATCTGCTTTTGCAAGTAACACTTTCCTGTGTCCATGGCTGCAGAGCCGAGGAGTTGGGACTAAGTCAATGTGGCCACACTGTCTCCAGGATTTACTACCTGCCCCTTCAGAGGCAAGTCTGCAAACCCCTGAATTTGAAGAAGACCTGAGGGGTAAGAACTGGGGTGGAATGATGGATCAAAGACTAGAGAGAGGCAGAGACAGGTAAGTGAGAGCAGAGGAGTGAAGACAAGACAGAACAGATAAGACATAAAGACAGGCCATAAGGAAAACAAGAAAGAAGGGGAGGCAAGACTGGAAATGAAAAGGGGAATATGTGTAGAGATAGGGAAAGAGGCAGAGAGGAAAGCAAATATTCCACAACCACTAGACCACCCCGAATTCCAACATGCTAATGACAGCTCCTCCCTCCCATCTCCCCTGGGCCTTCCTTTCAGGCCAGATACACTAGTTCAGCAGGCAGGGAAACACTGTTATCTGAGAGCTACTGGCTACACAGTCAACCAGGTGGGCTGCAAGGTGTTTTCCCAGCATGCACAGTGCTCTGTGGCTCTTTAAGACAAACAGGAAGAGTGACTTTGGGAGCTCATCATTAAGTGAGCGGTTCTCGGCTGCTCATCGTGAGCCGCCACAAGCCCCCCAGTCAGTGCTTGCAACTCGGCGAGTGACAGATGAGCTGTCTGGGAGGCACTAAGGAACCATTAGCAAACAAGCTCTATAAAGTTACGTAACTTCTAGTGTGTGTCAATATGTGATGCTCAACTAATAAACTTCTGACAGACAGCTTGAAGCAGCTTATAAAGCTGCTCTCCAAGTAGTTTTCAGAGCTTCTAATATATACAATGCTACTGCTTTACAAAACAGAAGTAGGAAGGCCTGCAGCTTCAGCATTAAGCCACTCTCTCTTGGAAGGTGAGGTCAAGCAGGGAGGACCCCTGGCTGTTCCCTTCCCTGGGGTGGCACAGAGGTCTACTTCTGCCAAACCCCTGCAGGCCCAAAGGAACAGGCCTTCTCCGAAAGTTGCTTGCAGGAGAGCCAAGGCTGGGAGGGTAGAACTGGGAAGGTAGAACTGAGGGCACAGATCCTGGCTGAGCTTAATAGGGCCAAGCAGCAGCAACTAAGGGGGAGGGTATGCCCCCATATCCTGGGCAAGAAGGGGGCCTGGGGCTCCTCTCTGAAATGCAACCCCACAGCTGAGACTGACACCCTTAACCTTTGGGACTGCCTGGAGAGAGCACATGTAAGGAGCAGGGCTGTGCCACAGTAAAGCCAATTCACAGTAGGGCCTGGTGTAGATCATGGCAGTGGACAACCGGGGGAGTAGGGGATGAGGAGGTGCAGGAGAGGATAGAGGGCAGCAGGAGGGAGGGATGCTATTCTTCTCCCAGCATAGGTTCCAAGAGAGGGTGCTGAAGGAGACAAGAGGGGGGTCTGAGAAAGACCCATGAGAAAGAACTAAGCGAGAAGTGGGGGGCTTACTGGGCACTGTCCCCATCCCATCCATCAGGAGCAGTTTGTCTGCTGCCACCTGGTGGAGGCTAGGAGGCACACAGTTCTCTTAAGGGAGTGGACTCAAGCCCTTACTGCAGAACTGGGAAGAAGACCAGGCATGACCCCCAGGGCACTGAAGGCCCAATTTCTACCCCCATTTCCCAAAGGGGAGGAGTTGCTGATTTCCTACACTAGGAGGCACTTAGCCCCTCTTCACCTGACTCCAAAGACTCCAAAAAGGCAGTCTGGCAGGCCTGGCTCAGGAACACCCTAGAGCCAGCCCCTCTGATCTTTGATCCTGCCCTCAGCCCCAAAAGAAGTTCAGGTCCAGGGGAGCTCTATGGAAGTAAAGGGGGTCTATTATGCAGGACATGGGTGTCGAGGACACACAGGGCAGTCGAAACCACAGTCGAAACCACAGTTTCGAAGACCCCAGGCAAGAAAGAGCCACAGCTCCCAGCCCCTTTGGCTCCCCTGGGATGGCCTTGCAGGAAGGGCAGGCCTCAGCTCCAGCAGTAGTGCCAGCATCCAGAGCATAGAGGCTGGGTTCCGGGGTTGCATCAAAGATGGGGGAATCTAGGGAATAGGAGCATGTGGGGGTCTCCAACCAAATACAAATCTAGGGTCAGTAGGACGTGGGTGAGTGGGAGGAAGCCAGCAATGGGCTGGTCTGCTTCTGGAGAGGCCCATCAGCACACATATCCAAGAAACAGTGGGGCAGTGGTGAAAGCCAGGACTGACAGAGCAGCCCTGTCACCCTCCTCTGCCAATGCCTCTCATCTGGAGAGGAAGCTGGGTGGTGGACTGCCACGGTGACTATCATGACAGAGGACAGAAGTCACTGAGCCTATGCTGTTCCCCACCTCTCTTAATTCTCCCCTAACTCCAACAGGTGGACAGGAAAGTCAAGTGACAGCTGCCACCTGCTGACCGCAGAAAGGAGAGAAGGGAGCCGGGGCAGTCCCCGGCACACCGGGCTGACTGTCCCCGTGCAGGCAGGCCTCAAGGGGAGGACAGGGAAATAAGAAGAAACGGCTCCTACAGGGGATGTCATGCTTCAAGCCTCAAGGCTGTGGGCCAGACCTGCAGGCCTTCTAGGTAAAATAGGGTGACACGCTAGTCCGTGAGTTTTGAGGTCACCAACAGCTCCTCATCACCCTGACATACAAAACACCAGAACATATGGCACTGGAGTTGCCCAAACTGCCAGCCTCATAATGAACCGATTAGAGTGCATATGGCACGCAGACAGGAGAGATCTCTCAACGTAAAAAATGCTGGGGACGACGGAAGGTGTCAGAGTCTTCCCTGCAAATCGCTCTTCATTAATGTTTCATACAGAGCCAAATGTGTTATAATAAAATGGCTATTAATGCACTTATATTTATGATGATTTCGCTCAGTGGAGTTGGAGTTAACCTTGCAGGGCAGGACTGCAGGTCCCACACGGCAGCACGAGGCCAGCATGGCGCAGGTCACAGCCCCATCCCGCACACTCACCTCCATCTCCGAGCTGTGGGCGTGCACCTTCTGCACCATGTCCTCGGCCTCACGCATGCGGCGAGTCAGCTGGGGTGAGTATTCTGCTGGGGTCAGCTCGCTGTCGTAGGACCCCAGGATGGCACGCATACCATCCCGCTCCTGTGGGCACAGAGGGCAACGTGGTCAGCCTGGGTGGGCAAGGGTGGTGATGTGATGCTGAGGGAACATGTGTGCCATTAAATGTTCTACCACTGAGTGGTACCCACCTGAGAAACACATAACAGAAGAGATCACACAGAGATAGGAGCAGGAATCAGGATCAAGTTTGGGGGACAGGCCTTCATATGGGCTCTCAAAGAGCCCAAGTGGAACACTCAGCAGTGTTTGGATTCACAGTGGCCTGATAGACTCCTCTGACTCTGTCCAGCAGTCCAAGACAGGGCCTTCTAGCAGCCCAAGCATGGCCTATTCCCAGTGATTTGGGGAGTTCACTCTGACTTCCCAGCATGAACCGCAGTGGGGTGCAGACCTACAGAGCTCAGAGAACCACAGACCAGCAGTGACTGCATGGTCTGCAGTGCGTGGGTGTGGGCACCCTTCCCAAAGCTGCTGTATCCCTTAGCTCAGCATAAGATTTCTACACCATTCCAGCCCATGTCCCAGGTCAGTATGACTTTCTGAGACCCATCAATCGGGCCCAGGGAAATACAAGTGGAAGGGTAATACACCAAGAAGCAGGTTCAAATCCCCATCTTCCCATGATTTCTGACCCGGCCTTTGACCTAGCAGCACTCAGAGCAAGTTTCCTAGCAGCAGATTCAGCAAGTGAGGAGAGATGCCTCTAAGCAAGGAGGTGGCAGATATCCCACGGTACTGAGATGCCAAATGCTTTGACATCTGCCTGGAGTTCTCTACAGGGCCTGGAATCCCCATGAGCCTGTCCTCTCAGGGAGTCCCGCCACGCTCATGGATGCCTGAGGCCACGACCCCAGGCCACAGGCTTGTCACAAAGCACCAGCCCGCCAGCAATCCTCAGTTTCTAAGGCAAAGGATGGGTTCACATAAAGAGGCAGCTTGGGTTGTAGGGAATGACATCAGAATGAACTCCTGGAGCTATACTGAAGTGCCCACTCAGTGTGCCTGCCAGAAATGGTCATTAAGGCCAACAGCCAGGAAGTCAGGGCCCTAGGAAAGACAGGAGACTTCTCTTAAGACACTCAAGAGGCCAGCAGGAAGGTCAGTGGAGGCCAAGGGAGCCCTGAGTTCAGAAACTGAGCTGCTCTGACAGGACTGTGTAAAGGGAGCACACATCCCAGGACAATGGTACACAGTCCCCTGTGGGCTGCCCACTGCCATCTCTCCTTCCTAACTCTGAGGCGGAAACCACAAGGATTAGTTTCTTTTGGCTCTAAATCTCAAGTTTGGATAAAGAAGACCTCGTCCCCAACAGCTCAAGGCACAGCTGAGGGCCAGCGCCCACCCTCCTGATCCCCCTATCACCCACCTCTACCTGCTGTCACCACAGACACTCACAATGGGCTACACAGAGAAAGTCAGAAAGCTGTCTTCAGAAAGCTTATAAGGCACTACTCTTCAAACCTTCCATACTGTATATGTCCTGGGGCTCTGTGACACATCTGCTCAGATTCAGCAGGCCTGGGGTGGGTACTCAGAGATGTTGATGCTGCTGGTGCAGAGGATACACGGGGAAGCAAGATAAAGGGTAGGTCCCATGAACTCAGTTCCCAGGAAGGTTTCTCTGAGACCCAGATGTAAAGCCCAGTCCTGTCCCCCTCAAGTTCGGTAAGCTGATGCCTGTGTCCTGTCCCTTTCTCATAAGCTGGACAGTCAGCCCATTGCAAAGGACAGCTGCGATGATCAATTCCACCAGATGAAAGAGCCAGCGCACCACCCTGTAATGAGATCCACAATGGCAGCAGATGATTTTATCCGTTTGGCAAAGAGACCTCTACACATTCACGGATCCCAGCAGACATTGGGACAGCTGCTGGAGACAGGCCAGTTCACCTTGGCACTGCCCTGCTCTGTGCACTGGACAGATAGCTCCCTCCCAACCAAGGTAGAGGTGTTTAGGGGAGCTGTAGGGACACCTTCACCAGCCCTGGTTCAAAAGCAAATTCACAGACCTGGGGAGCAAGACCTTGGGGTGAGACCTGGCAAGTAAGACCTGAGCCACCTCCAAGCAGGATCCAATGCCCCCTCCACTGAGCAGTCTCTCCCTGGTGCTTTCCAAGGACCCAGAGCCCAGGGAGAGACTCACCACTGCTCAGCCCCGACCCCTGCCCAAGCCCTACCATCGAGGAGGATGCTGGGGCTGACAGGAGCCCCCGAGTTTTCTCTCAAAAGTTAGCGCTCTCCTGTGCTCATGAGATCAGATATGGTCATCGCCTCAGCAAGGACTTCATAATTAGTTGATGACAAAAAATTCAATAAGTAAGAAATTAAAGTTACAAATCCAACTGGAACTGGTCACATACACATGGAAAATTTGTTTCCACAGGAAAGTTTATCGAGTGTCATAATTTTATTGAAATCCTATATCTTCCCATTGACTTTTATGGTTTGGAGCTGGTTACCAGAGTTATCATTACCAGAACATCGACATCATGCGAGGCGCGGGCAGGGGGATTTCCTTTCATAAACAAGCTGTAATTGTCTCCTTTATTGACCAATAAATCTTCAAAATGCTGCCTTTCACTAGGCTGCTCTTCTATTACACTTCCAGGCTAGCAATAGCTGGCAGAGAGGAAAATATAAAATTGAAAGTTTGTTGTTTGTACCTTTTAAAGAAATTGTTTTGTCATTAGTAGTAAAAGAGCAAGAACTGTTGCTGGTTTGCTTTGATAATGACTTTTTAATGAAGTTGCTTCATTTCCACCTGAGCAAATGCTGGTGATTAATCGCTGAGCAAATAGGCACCCAGTCTGTGCAGCAGGCGCCTCCACGATGCTCAGAGAGGGTCACTGCACAGCACTGTTTCCACTGAGCACCCCCCAAACCACATCGGCTTGTCACGTGACTAACCCAGCTCAGGGTGCAGTAACAGAGAGGACCACATGTGAAGATGGAACTGAGAGGTGGGGCTGGTTATGGAAGGAGTCCTGACCACAGGCCAAGGGGAATGGGGGTACAGGACTCGTCAAGGCCCAAGCCCTGCTGAGATCCTGCTCAGTCTTCACCAGCCCAGCCAGTTCTCCAGCCTGCCACAGAGAAGGTTGGACCCCACAGCAAGAGTTTGGGGTACTACTTGTCAGCCCCACTGCAGCCTCAAGGAGAGGGACCGGACTTGCGGGTCTTGCCTTACAGGCAGAGGCTCCCATGTGGGGTCACACAGGACTGGTTGGGCGGAAGGTCTGCACACATCCTGTGGGCCAGTGGCAGGTGTACCCATCACTCCTGGTCTCCAGGTCACCAGCTATAGCCAGGGAGTGCCAGCCAATGCCTAACTTAGCATGAGATGGGGCCATTCACTGAAAGAGGCAGCTGAGATCAAGCCTTGGTCACCTCTGGACTGACCAAAAGGGATGTTGGGAGAGACAGCTGGAGGTCCTCTCTCTGACTATGCCCATGTAGGGCAACAAAGAGGGCTGGGTAGGGGGGAAAAGAAGCACATTTTGAACCAGGCCACCACAGCCCTAGAGCCCCTACTAGGCTCTGTGAGGCAAAGACCTGCCTGTCTATGCCTCAAAGATGCTGAATCCACCCTCACTTCAAGTCCTTGGCTTTACTGATCTCCAGGTCTGGAAATTTCTTTCTCCTGAAATACATCTGGCCTCTCTCCTTCAGGTCATAGCTTTCCTCCCACCCCCAGCCACACAATCTAGTGCATTATCATATTATCTCTCCAACACTGCTCAGCTCAGCTCTGATATTATCTGTGGTATTGGTGATATGATCATCTTCTACAACTCAAGCTTCAGAAGGAGGAACCCTGAGCGGCATTCTCACTCCTGTCTCCCAGGGCTAGCAAATTCAGGGTTGATGGGGAGGTTCAAAGGAGGGAGGGTATGATTCCTGCATCAGGTAGAAGTTCTGAAAGACAGCATAGTGACCTACTAGCAGGAGAGATGTTTTCTGCACACTTAGTTTGATGTCAGGCCTTTAACTCCAAGATCCTTGGCTGTGGATGAACAGACAAAGATGTGGGCATGGAGAACAATGTTCTAGAACTACAAGGAAAATGAGAAAATCCCAGACAAGTGATAGAACTGAGTCACAGGCAAGAACACAGAAAGGTAGAGTTGTCCGCTAAGAGGATGTGTGCATGTATGAAATACATGTGTGCCTGCGTAATAAATGATCACTAGGTCACATCTTCTATGTTCCTGCCCCCTGGAATGTGGCAGGTGGGGGTGGGGGGGTCACATTTCTCAGTGCTTCTGAGGCAACAGGCTGGGTTCTACTGCCACAAAGAGCCCCTCTGGCAGCCCCTGTTGGGCGTGGGCCTCCCAGGAAAGGTCAGTGCATCAAGGACTGCCAGAGAGCTCCAGCTACTCCGGAAATCTGCTTCGTTCATTCATTTGTTACTTCATATGCTCACTGAAGCTTTACCCCAACCTGGGTATGAGCATGAAGTCAATCCCAGGCTAAGCTAGGAGGGAGCCAGGGGCCCAAGGATAAAGCCTGTAGCCTCCTATGGGCTGGAGAGATCATGACAGGTACCAGAAATTCTGGAGCGAAGACACAGAGACCTCAGGTGCCAGAAGGCTCCATACCCTATAGGTCCTGGAGGTTTTGGGAAGAGGCTGGGCATCCTGGACAGGCATCACTGGAGTGCGGCAGTGGGGCATTTGAATCACACTAGGCATTGTAAGCACCTAGCCACCCTCGTCAGAGGCAACAGTGGTGATTATCTTCACATCAGCAGGCCCTCCAAAGAGAGGCAACTAATTGCACTCTGAAGCACCCTCCCAAAGACACTGATGAACCCTATGGGACTAGTCAGAAGGCACCCCAGGCAGAGGCCTAGGAGACACGTGGGGTGGGGAAGATGCTCTCTGGCAATGGGCTGTTTCTGCACATACACTAGGACACCATGAAGACAGGACTGGTCCATTCAATGACAAACAGCACCCTGAGCAAGTCTGCCCTCCTGTAGGGTCACTGCAGGACACTCTATGAGAGCACAGAGGCTTCCT